AAACCACTCGTACAGCCCAACAGATAGCTCAAATAGTCACGGTACCCCATGGTATCCGTACTAATCCAAGAATGACCACTGTACTGAGCCACTCCGGTAGCAGACAAACTCAAAACTGAGCCAACCTCTTCTCAGACAACACAACCTTCACACCTCTCACCTTAGAGGTGATCTCCAACTTATCGCCCTCCTTTGTCACAACCATGTGGCGATAAAACTCTTTCACCAAACTCGGGTAAGTCTCGGCCCTTATGGCGAGAAACCCATCCAACAAACCTTGATACCTAAGCAAATCCAACAAGGAACTAGGAAAAGATTCCGAATCAAAAGCTTTACCTTCAAGAACAAGGTAATGGGCATCCACCCATTCCGCTTTCCTAGCCAAACTTGACTTTCTAGGTATGGTAGGAGATGATCCAAAGCTCAACAAACAAAGCCCACAACTTCTTCTTCACACCCACACTCTCGCTGCTCCTCTCTTTCTCGCACGCTCTCTCTCTCTCGCGCTCTCTCTCGGCGACACAACAACATCGGCTCGGTGGCGGTAGCGGGTGGCGGTTCGGTGGTGGCTGGCGACGGGTGGAAGGGATGCTACGGGTTGGGGATGGGGTTAGGGTGGTTCACGGGTAGGGAGAAGGAAAAAGGAGAAGAGGAGAAAAATTTTGGGGATTTAGGGATTTAGGTGAAATTGGGGAAAAAGATGATTAAATTTGGGGATTTTGGGTAAAGAGGAAAAATATGGATGAAAAGGAATTAGAATTGGGTAGGTTCCAAGGAAGATAATTAGCTCAAGTGGTTTAGGGGTTGGGTAGAAAAGAAATAGGCTAAGGTTTGAAACTCAAAGACTATAATTAAACTTTAGGCTTGGCTTTTAAAACTACACAAGGAGAGGTTTTTGGTATGGATTTTTCTATTCTCCCAAATCAAAGAATACTTGGAAAAATTTAAGAAATGCACAAGGAATTATTGTAAGAACAACCAAGTGTAGGGATTGAAGGATTAGGCTAAGCACAAGGTAACTCAAGGATAGATGGCTACCACACAACAAGATTTAGATGCCAACTAAAGAAGTCACTTAGCAAGAAGAGAGTCTATACTAAGCATCCAACGAATTACTAACAAGGAAAACATGCCAAGGTTTGCCAAACAAAGACAACTACGAAACACACGAGAACACTCAAGGCAACAAAGAGCACAATACTCTTGGGAAACAAGGATAGGCTCGAAAACAAGGGTTACCTGCTAACTCTTCCTCCACCAGACCCTCCGACTCCGCCTGCGAACGCGCCATCACGAAGACTCTTCCCGGCGGCCTAGCTCCGACAGCTCCGCGACCTGAACTCCCTCCTGGTGCTCCTCCGGCTCTCGGGGGTGGCGGCAACGCTCTCTGACCGGCAAGCTGGGGACACTCCGCGACTCTGTGACCACGATCCCCGCATCTGAAGCACTTGAACGCCTGGCCATAACAATCATGGCCTGCGTGCACCTTCCCACACCTACGACAACCAACCGACTGAGCTTGATCCTGAAGCTTCATTCTGATAGGTCCTTGAGAAGAAGCCGGGAAACTCGATCGGGACTTCTTGAAGGTGGAAGAACCCCCACTCTCAACTCTCTTCCTGGCCAACTCCAACGAACCCCTCTGAAGCTGCTGAACACGAAACAGATCACAGATACGCATCCTTAAGGGAACTGGGCATACTCACCGTCAACGCTTTTCGTGCCTCAAAATTCAGACCGCCAACGGAACGCTCAACCTTAGCAAGCTCTGTAGGCACCAGCATCCTCGCGATGCGCGCCAGCTCTAAGAACTTCTTGTGGTACTCAACCATAGATAAGGATCCTTGCTGCAGATGAAGGAACTCATCAAACATGGCGGCTCGCACATGCGCTGGGTAGAACCTTTCGCGCATTCTGTCCTTGAGTGTGGTCCAATCAAACCCAGGATCTTCAAGGAAGGCCGGACCTTCGTGAACCCACCACAAATCCGCTTCTTGGCAGAAGTAGAATGTTGCCAGTTTTACTCTCCTCTCTTCGGGGCAGCCCACCACGGTGAAGATCTTATCAAACACCCGTAGCCACTCTTCTAGGACTACAGGGTCTTCCTCGCCAGCGAAGGTTGGCGGCCGATGCCCTGACACCAAACGACCTACATCGCGATGCAGCTTGATTGTTGTTCAGCAAGGCTTCACTAAGCGACTGCATTGTCTGCGTCAGCTGATGGAGATTCTGAGCGAGCTGCTCGTTGGTCGGGGTCTCAGGGGTGCGAGCGCGGGGACGAGGAGGCATCTCAAACTTCTACAACAACAACGAGATTACCAAAAGAGCAAACATGCAAGACAGAAAGCAACACACATCTCACCGCGCAACCTAGAGTCCTAAGCCAAACACTTAGCTTCTTAAGGTCGCTTAGAGGTCTCAAAGCACACTTAACCACTTAGAAAGTCTAGACTTAACTCTTCCTAGGCTCAAACCTAGGCTCTGATACCAACTGTAACACCCCCCAAACAAGACCTATATAAAAGCCTTAAACACATGCAGATTAAGCGACAAAACTAGCACAGCGGAAGATAAAAACGAAACTGGATAAAAAGAAATCCAACGGGGTGTCACGCCACGTCCACCAAACACGGTAAATGCTACGGCAAACAATCTGCAAGTGTACATCTATCCCAAACATCAGTCTATCTAACTACATTGGCGCACAGGCCACAAAAAACCACAAAGGTAAAGGAGCTAAGCTACCAGGCTCTAGACATCGCGCTCATCTAAACATCACCTGAAAGATACAAAGATAAACATTGGGACGATGCCCGGTCAGCGAATAATACTGGTAACCCACCAATACCGTTAAGTATCATACATAGATAGATATAGGTAATAAAAACCATTTTCGAAACGGAATACATAAATATATAAGTCAAAAGCCAAGATCAATAGTTAACACAAGACTCACCACTCACAAAGATAACACCGGGAACACATCCCAAACCACAAAGGTTAACCACACGCAAGGATAAAGACTCACCCAACGGCAACACATGCCAAACAACACAAGCCTCCGTGACTACACACGTCACGAGAGAAGATTACACAACGCCGGCTTTACAAGCCCTCGCAACATCACCCATCACGAGTTGGTATACCCGCCTTATGCCCTGTTCCAACCTTATGGCTACCCCCAACCTTGTATCTTCTATCCAACCATTACCTCCAGGAACCCCTGTACTTCTTAGTCCAACCTTTTCCCTCCTGGAACCGTCGTCCCCCACCAACAGACCACCAACAAAACCACCAATTTCACACACATGGCGACACACGCCTCGGCGACACACGCCTTACCCAAGAAATACGTGAACCAGACACACAGGTCACACTCCATAATCACGTCACGGCCACCACGAGGACCACTGCAATACCTTGGTGACTAGTGTCCCATACCACTAATCGTGCAATCGAGGTAAAGCCACACATACCACACCTCAACAGGTATCAATCACGGATTGCAATGAAGGTATGAAACATACTCAATCAAGGAACGGGTCACAGCCCAACAACAATAACGATGAGTAACACAAGTTATCATCAACCAAATGGAAGGTACAAACCACGCACACGCTAGTATTAAGACAACGAACTAGCATGCTTAACAACGGGGAAACTCAAGATAGTTCCGAGGAACACACAAGACACCTCTTGGTCCAACGAAAAACAATGTTGAACACTTAGCACGATTCAAGACACCAAAGTCCTACATGGATACCTACCATATAGTTCTAGACCTACGAAACATCAAGAAGACGCTCAAATAGTTCCACACAAGAACATCGGGAAGCCAAAAGATCAAATACTAAGACAAACAAATCACGGGGATCAAATCCCGAACGAATACCATCGTGTTCCCCGCGGGTGGAGCCACGGGTAGTGCCCCACCCGTGGTCCCGCCCGCGGGTACACTACCCCACAGGCCTATGTACCCGCGGGTAGGCCGGCGGGTGGTGCCCCGCCCGCCGTTCCGCCCGCGGGAACATCCCTATTCCACAACAAATCCCTTCGGGGATTTTCTTCTCCAAACACAAATTCAAGTCCAAAAGATGCCAAATCTCACCCAACACAACAAAATGACTTGAACCATGGAAAATGCCAAGCAATGGCACAAATGAACCCTAAACACAAGCTCTAGATATGCAATATCACAAGATAAATGCATAAACCCTCACATTTCATAGCAAAACACAAGTAGAATCCAAGAAATCACATATAGGTAAGCAAAATAGGTTTTGTAGAGCATGGGTTACCTCTTGAAGACCAAAAGACTTCAATTTACACCACAACAAGCTCTCCACTAGGCTCACTTTCCAAACCCACTTCAAGATAAAACCAAAAGATCATAAAGATCCTACCTTTAAGAAAAAGACAACTAAGATGGAACCAAAAACGCAATACAGGCTTAGATCTTACCCTCCTAGATGGCCAAATAGGTGAAAGGTTGAATCTTGGAAGCAAAACTTGGAATCCTGACAAGGGTCTCTGTAACACCCCAGATTTTCAAGATATATAAAACTTATAAAATAAAGGTGAAATCTCATTAAATCCCAAATAGAGTACGAGAGTACGGGGTGTTATGCCACACCTGAGCTAGAGAACTCGGGTGCACAGGCTAACTAACTAATGTCTTAATAGTGTAAATGCATAAACATGGCACGCAGGCCGAAACGGAAACTAACTACTTCTACGTTCCAAGCTCTAGCGCGCTCCAGTGACATATTCTTCTGTGCCTGAAAGCCAAATATATCTGTTCAGCGAGAGATGCTGGTAACCCACTCCAACGCATTGAAATACAATACATATATACATATATACATAGGTATACGAAAAGTCATTTCGAAGCATGAAGATATATCCTACGAGACTCTAGTTTCCAAATTAGGGAACCGACTCGACAGATAGGGGTACACACAATCAGTAGTCGTAATCAAGCATAAACAATTCTCACATAGGGAACAGTTATAGATAAGCACAACCTATGATCACAATTAAGCATTACTAGTAAGAGTCCTATGGTCACGTTTCCATAACAGTCACATCATCAATTCTTCTCATCTCATCACATAGCACACTTTGTTGGCGCCACAGGACCAATCGCATGCCCATACATGAGGGCCAGCGCATATAGCTCTGACACGGCCCCGTAGCACCCTGCCCCGTCTCACATTACGGAGGAGCCGATCGCAACCGACTAATGAACCGCAGTTCTATATAATATTTATATACCTGACCGGTCTTTACCAGCCTGGTTAACAGTTGGGATGGTTCTCAGCCCATTCAACTGCCCGTATAGTGGACCTTTGTCCTATATAATATTTATGTACCTGACCGGTCTTTACCAGCCTGGTTAACAGCCGGTATGGTTCTCAGCCCATCCGACTGCCCGTATAGTGGAACTTAGTCCTATATAATATTTATATACCTAACCGGTCTTTACCAGCCTGGTTAACAGCCGGTATGGTTCTCAGCCCATCCGACTGCCCGTATAGCCCGATTGATTTCAACCAATCGGGGTAACATGCACACATAACACATAGCAAGCACATGCAACCCATATTAACACATTGGGAAGGGGGAAAACGTATAACGAAACCTATGCGTGGTCATCCACAACTAGGAATACTCCTAAGGGGTTCATACTTCTTATACCTAGGTCAACGGGATACCAATTCAACTAGCATGCAATATATAAGACTCATACAACCTACGAACGGTACCCGAAATATCAAACTAGACATAGGCACGATAGACGGAGTCCGTTGGGACACCACGGGGGTCGGGGAAACATCAAACGGGGAAGCCGGAATCCCGAGGTAGGGTGTAAACCAGCGGGTAGCCGGTGGGTAAGGGTTCACCCGCCGGCTGCCCGCCGGCGGCAACTGTTCCGGGCAGCGGGTGCCCGGCGGGCAGCTGCCCGCCCGCCGGCTGCCCGCTGCCGGTGATGCCCAAATAGGCCGCGGGTAGGTGGCGGGTCCCCTACCCCCACCTACCCCCCACTGACTCTTTTCATCACAAAACGCCCCGGGAGCCTTCGAGGAACCCGGAACCATGCTTAGACACTTTCAAACGCCATTGATAACACACGTAGACAATTAACGAATCAATCATCAAGAAACAAACGGCACATAACCTATCATGCTTTTCTAAACATAATAAACACCCAATCATGCGAAATCCCACCAAATATACCAAGAATAATACCATACGAATTTCATGATATAACCTAGGGTTCTAATTATTTTTAATCAACAAGAACACAATTCATCTTCCCGAATCGAGATTCGGTAGGAATATCACATAACTATCAAGAGCCTCATATAATCATTAAGAACATCAAGATCACCACGTAATTATCAAGAACGTCATTTTAATCATCAAGAACGCCCTAAATATCAAGAACCCATCATCGTCAAGATCATCAAGAACATCAATGGAATCATAACACCAATTATCAATATAACGAATCATCAACATACAATAATATGGGGGATCCTAAGGGGGAATCATAACTATGAAAATAGGTTTTGTTGAGACATGGGTTACCTCTTAGTCTTAATTAATTCCTCGGCTATGAAGGGCCTTTCTTTAAGCTTTCTTGCTTTCTTGATTTCTTCTAGGGGGATTCTTGGAGCTCTTTGGGGTGGTGGGCGTTATTCTTGTGGTGGGGGGTTTCTAGGTGCCCCTTGAGTCCCCTATTTATATATTTAGGAGTCCTAGTTAGGAACTAATATTATGGGCTTGCTAATTCTATTTCTTTTGGAACTAAGGATTGGGTTTAGGGATAAGGGCCCGTGGACTATGGTGGGCCTTCCTAATTAATTATTGTGATTTAATTCTTTCTTTTGGGTAATTGATTAAATGATTTAATTGATCTTAGGGGTCGTAACACGGGGTGTTACAGTCTCAACTTGGCTTGGAGAATAAGCTACACTTCTTTTCTAGAGAGAAGGTAGAGATATTTTTCTAGGAATTGTAAGGAATGAAATGAAGAAGTCTTCTAGGTTATGTTACAATACTAACTCTTGGTGAAAAGACAAGGATACCCTTACTAACCCTTAGAAAGTGTAAGGAACAAGGGAACTCCCCTCAAAGCACAAGGTACAACACAACTTAAAGGTTGACTAGTCAAATTCTAGTCCTTGAGTATTAAAAATCAGGATTTTAGGAATCAATTCCTCAAAAGATATAGAATTAATTACTCAATTAATTCATGGATGGAAATGTGGATTTTTGGGGTGTCACAGGAAATCTGTTCGTTTCCCCCTATCTCGTGTTGAGTCTTCTAGTAGTCATATTTTAGATTTGGTGTACACAGACATTTGGGGCCTTGCGCCTGTTTTATCTATTAGTGGCTATCGTTACTTTATCTTTTTTTGTAGACGATTATTCTCGCTACACTTGGTTTTATCCTATGCGTTTAAAATTATATATTTATGCTATATTTGATCATTTTCGTGCCTTGGTTGAACGTTTGTTTAGTTGTCGCATTAAGTCTATACAGTCTGATCTTGGTGCTGAGTATAAGATATTGCACTCTTTATTTCTTTCAATTGGTATTAATCATACGCAGTCATGTGCTTATACTCACAAACAGAATAGTCGCGTTGAGCGTAAGCACATGCACATTGTTGAAACTGGGCTCACTTTAATGGCTCTTGTGTCTGTTCCGCCTCGCTTTTGGGACTTTGCGTTTGTGTTTGCTGTTTACTTAATCAATAAAATGCCTATGTTTGTTCTACAAAATTCCAGTCCACATTATATTTACACAAGTATTCATCGTTCGACTCTTTTCTGCGTCTGTTCGGTTGCTTGTGTTATCCGCATCATCGTCCGTACAATCGTCACAAAATGAGTTTGAGGTCTACTCCTTGTATCTTTCTTAGGTATCCTGAGTCGTTTAGGGGGTATACCGTTGTATGGATCTTAACACTAACAAGGTCTTTATCTGCACGCATGTTCATTTTGATGAGCATGTATTTCCTTTTGCTAAGCCTATTTTGTAGAAATCTGTTAATGAATCGTCGCAGTCGTGGGCCGTTTCTCGGGTTCAGGCTCCGTGTATGGCTTCAGCGATGCGTCCTGTGACTACTCAGCCTACTTCGCCTGTAGTTCGTGCTCGGGTGCCTCGGGCTACATCTCGACCTCTAGTTCGAGCGCTTATGGCGACGAGGAGTAGGTATCGGGCTGAAGGTGCGGTTTTAGTTGCTTTGTCTGCTAAGGTATGTCCTGTTGAGCCAACTTGCTATACACAGGTTGTCAGGTTTCCAGAATAGAGAGAGGCTATAGACACGTAATTTAATTCACTTAGGCAGCTTGTGCCTTACGAATGAATGTGGTTGGGTGCAAATGGGCATTTCGCTCCAAACGAAAGGCTGATGGCTCTATTGAGCGGCACAAGGCGCGGTTGGTAGCTAAGGGATTCTACCAAGTGGCTAGACATGACTTCTTTGATACGTTCAGTCCCGTGGTTAAGCTAACCACGGTTCGGTTGTTGTTGTCTTTGGCGTTGACCTCGGGCTGGGTCATGTATGTTTTTTGCAGAAGTCTTTATATGGGCTCAAGCAGGCTCCCCGGGATTGGTTTACTAGGCTGCATAATTTCCTACTTTCTATTGGCTTTCAAGCTTCCAAAACAGATGTTTCTCTATTTATCTTTTCGTAGGGGGAGCTGAAAGTGAGATGATATCTTGGTTATGTGCAGTGATCCATCTCTGTTAGTAATGTTATTATTTATGTTATTATTTGTTATTTGGTTTGACTAGTCTTTACATTAGATTAGTTATTTATGGTTTTCCTGGTTAATAGGATTAGTTCACGCTGATGTATATTAGGTGATTGTTTTGTAATCTCTATTGTGTTGGAATAGAAACGCTGATCCTTATCTCATCATCTCTAGTGTCCACTCTCATATCCAAGATGTCTAGTGCTTTCAAGATTTGTGATCTAAGCGCACCGGGGTTTTTCTTATGAATTGAGACGGTTCGTAATGAAACGAGTATGCTTCTTTTTGAAAAGCGTTACATGGCAGAAATATTGAAGCATGCGGGCATAACTGAGTGCAAATCATTAGCAACCCAGGTTCATGTTTCTCGTCCTGTCAGTAGAGCGGATGAGCCGTTTGTAGATCCCACGAAGTACAGGAGTTTGGCTAGTGTTTTACAATAACTCACGGTAACTCGTCTTGGCTTATCTTATGCGGTAAATTTATTGTGCTAACACATGCGTGCCCCTACGGAGGCTCATTGGACTTAGCTTAAGAGGACGCTACGGTATGTTAAGGGGAGTAGGGGACTTTGCACTATGGTTTTCAACTGCTTAAGTCTTCTAACACTGATATCCATGCATTCTTTGATTTGGACTGGGCTGACTGCCCTACGGATAGGAAATCCACGAGTGTGTTTGCTATTTTTCTAGTGTCTAATCTCGTTTCTTGGATTTGTAATAAGCAACGTACTGTGGCTAGATCTTCTACTGAAGCTGAGTACAACGCTCTTGCTTATGTCTGTGCTGAGGTAACTTGGATTGCGGCGTTGTTGAGTGAGTTTGGTGTGCCTTTTGTGTCTGTCCCGAAGCTTTGGTGTGATAATCTAGGTGCCACCTGCATGTGTGCCAATCCCGTTTTTCATGCTCGTATGAAGCACATTGGGATTTATTATCACTTCATTCGTGACAAGCTAGCTACAGGTGATCAACAGATTAATTTTATTTCATCTAAGGACCAGTTGGCAGATATTTTTACAAAACTGCTTGCCGCTCTGCCGTTTGCATTCATGGGTAACAAGTTGCAGGTTGTTGCTCCCACCTGAGCTCGAGGGAGAGTGTTAGAACTCTTATTGTAGTATAGTCCTAGTGTGTTTATATCTCTAGACTCTATATATATTCTCTATATGTAATTCTGTACAGATTTACGATTGAATAATACAATCCTAATCGTGAGGGCAAAGCTAAGAGAAAATTAAAAGTAATGGTACATAGAGTTGCAAAGTTTATTATTATTATTGTTGTTGTTGTTATTATTACTATTATTATTATTATTATTATGAAAAACAAAATTTTTTACCCCTTAATTGTTTAACTTTTATAATTTTCATCAATTTTAATTGATTTAAATATATTAAGTCCTTTAATTGTCCATTATTTTGCAATTTTAGTGCCTAAGTTATCAAACTCTATTAGCAAACTCTTTTATGGGGTTATTTTTATCATTTAAAATCAATATCTATGGTTAAAGTTTTATTTTGTTATACATATATTTGAACGTCATTTTTTATCGTAAATATTGATTTTGAATGATACAAAGTAATTCCATATGTTTTTTTTTAAGGGATAACTCCATAAATTAATAGACTTTGATAATTATACAACATTAGAGACTGAAAAACGCAATATTGTGAACAATTAAGGGGATAAATTTGTTTAAATTAATTTATATGAATCAAATTCTTAAAAGTGAAACAATTCAGATAGCAAATGTGTCAACTTTCATTATTATTATTATTATTATTATTATTATTATTATTATTATTATTATTTAATCTTTTGATCTTTGAGATAATTGGAGACTAATGATACAATTTATAATTTTACTATTATCATCAATTCTTCATCATCATCATTAATCGTAGTAGAAGAAGATAGTTGTGTGGTCACGTCAACAAAATCATGACTCATCATTGATTTCGAAGTGGTACGATTTGCAATTTTGTTTTTCAAGTTTGGTGATTTATTTCAATTTTCTTATTAAAAAAAAAATTTAAGGTTCAATTGCATTTTTGTTTAGACTTGGGATTTGTCATTTTTTTAAAATGAGTTATTTGTACTTTAGATGGTACGACTATTAGGTTACTTTAAAATTTTGCTACTAAGTACAATTTTAATCATATTTGGTCTACAAATTAAATTTTATTTTATTTTATTTTTTCCTCATTACTCTATATCAATTTGGACATTTCGTGTCACGTCAACAAAAACATGACTCATCATTGGTTTCGAAGTGGTACGAATTGCAATTTTGTTTTTCATGTTTGGTGATTTATTTCAATTTTCTTAAACAAAAATTAACGGTTCAATTGCATTTTTGTTTAGACTAGTAATTTTTCATTATTTAATAATGAGTTATTTCGATTTTATATTGTACGACTATTAGGTTACTTTTAAATTTTTGCTACTAAGTACAATTTTAATCATATTTCGTATACAAATTTTATTTTATTTTATCTTTTCCTCATTACTCTATATCAATTTGAACATTTCGTGTCACAAAAGTGTAAGAGCTAGAGTAAAATGTGAGAAAATATACAATATTCTTCCAAAAGGCTGAACCCCAACCCTAAGGGCTAAAAGAGGGGTGGGGATGCAACACGAGGACTTCCCAGAGGGTCACCCATCCTAGTACTATTCTCGCCCAATATTGATTACTCATATTTGCGCATACGCACAACCCAACCCACCTATTTTTTCGCCCAACCTGAGAACCAAAATCATACTAGGCATGGATATCCATTTCCAAATTGTGGATACCTGACCTAAACTGACTAACATGTTGGGTTATGATACATATATTTTTATATTCAACCCGCCCAAATATCAAAAAATATATAGGGTTAAGTTATGATACATCTGTACGATGTCATTTAGCATGCATATATATATATATATATATATATATATATATATATATATATAGCGAGTTCAGGTGTGGCGGTGTCTTACGGTGCGGCGGTGCGGCATCACCAATAGTTCAACAAATATACACCATCAACGTTAGAAAAATACACCACAAAAAACAGAGCAAATTAGGTACGGATCACCAAAAACACACCATTAGGTGTGAGTAAAAACACCATACAGTGTTCAGAAATACATCATTGGGGGTGGTGAGTTATATGGTGTATTTTTTGGGTTTGTTGTGTATTTTTTGATGTTTTATTGCATTTCATTGTGGTGTGTTTTCCTTACAGTGTTGGTGCATATTGTTAACACTGTTGGTGTATTATGAAATTCCGCCACACCACTGCACAGGAAGACCCCGCCGCATTTGAACTTTTTCATATATATATATATATATATATATATATATATATATATATATATATATATATATATATATAAGCAGATTGTAGACGCGTTATATCATTACCCTCATTTGTGCAATCGTGTTTCTTGTGTCTACTACTTTGTTCTATGTCGACCCACCCACTCTAGACTCTCTTGTCTCATCTCTCTTCTCTGTTTTCTCACAGTCTCACTCCCGCCATGTATCATGATTTGATTTATTGAAGAGAAAGAAAATAAAAAAAAAATTTGGCCCACCAATTTTTCTAGATGAATCAGAATATGACACGCAAGCTGGGAGTAAAAATGGAGTAGAAAATGAGAGTATGTGTAGTATTACTCCAAGCGAAATTCGTCTTCTCTTACTCCTTGAGATGACTTCGCAAAGACAAAACCTTGCGAAGACAGGGATAATATATTTATGAGTTAATACTATCTGAGCTCCTCCGAGTATAGTGGTTTTGCCACGTTTAGTTCTAAACTTTCAAATTGATCATCTGTGGCCTTCGACTTTCAAATTTAACCATTTGTGGCCCAAGTTAACCACTCATGGTCCTTCAACTATTAAATTTTAACCAACCATGGTCCTTTCAAGAGGACCACGACTTATTAAATTTCGAAATTTGATGACCATGTGTGGTTAACTTGGACCACGAATGGTTAAATTTGAAAGTCGAAGGACCACAGATGGTCAATTTGAAAGTTTAGGAATAAACATGGCAAAGTCACTATACTCGGGGAACCTCAGATGGTATTATCTCTTTATTTATTTATTTTGAGTAACACTTGTGTGAGACCGTCTCAGTGATCCTTATCCATGAGATAGTCGGGTCAGGAGGGTCAATATGCAAATGTAATACTTATACTAGCAAATATAATACTAAGAGTGTGTTTGAAAAGTAGGAAAATGGCTTCTGGAAAATGGTTTTCGGAAAATGAGTCATTTTCTAGAAAACAATTTCTTTTCTAGTGTTTGGTTGCAACACAGAAAACAGACTTGGTGTGTTTGGTTCATTTTCTGGAAAATGACCATAATTATTTTTAATTTTAAATATTTAAAATATACAATGGTGGTGGTGGTGGTGGTGGTGCAGTGGTGGGTGGTACTTTTGATCATAAGGAGTACTTTTTTAGTATTATATTTTCCCTTATGAATAATGTTGCACATATAAAGGAAAATGTAATACTTTTAATGAAAAATGTAATATATTTACATCAACATGTAAATTATTAAATTTCTCTTTAAAAGTATTACATTTTTCCATAAAAGTAATAAATATTTTATTACATTTGTTAGTATAAATATTATATTTTATCTTAACTCAGCCCGTCTCACAAATAAACATCCGTGAGGCAGTTATCTCACACAACTTTTTGCCATTTATTTTTGGTTCATGTAAGAATAATTATTAACAATGGAAAATCTATGCTAAACACTTGAGGGCAAAGCTAAGACAAAATGTAATGGTCGAGGTGTAAAGTTTTGTGTTGTTATTATTATTAAGAAAAACAAAAATTTTGACCTCTAAATTGTTTCACCTTTTTAAATTTGGTCCATTTTAATTGATTTAAACATATTAGTTCTTTAATTATCCATTATTTTCCATTTCTAGTGCCTAATATATATTAGGTAGTTATCAAACTCTATTAGCAAACTTTTATGGGTATTTTTGTTATTTAAAATCAATATCCATGGTTAAAGTTTAATTTTATTATACATTTGATCATAATTTTTTATCATGAATATTGATTCTAAATGATAAAAAATTACTCTATATGTTAATAGTCATTGATAATTATACAACACATGAGACTAAAAATGTAACATTATGAACAATTAAGGGGCTAAATTTGTTTAAATTAATTTACATGAATCAAATTTCTAAAACTGAAACAATTCGTGTGGCAAAAGTGTCATTTTCACTATTATTATTATTGTTGTTGTTGTTGTTGTTTTGTTGTTGTTGTTGTTGTTGTTTGTTTTACTAACACCAGGGTAGTCAAATGGCGGGCCAACACAACCGAAAAAAGAGAACACGGTGACTGGAAAAGTAATGCTTTGTATTGCTCTTGTGCGTGCATAGTGTTTAACCTTCTTCAAGGTATACAGGGGCCTATTAATACAAGAATGTAAGGGCCTAAACTAGAAGTTTTCCTTGCCATAAATACATTTGATCTCCTTTGTAAAGAGTTTTTTTTTTTTCCAAAATGGTCCCTCGACTATTGCTCACTCTCAATTTTGCATTTCGACTTTCAGTTGCACCAAATGTGGTCCCTTGACTTTCATAAACTCACTGAATTTAGTCATCCATTAGATATTCCATCAACTCATTGTTAAAATAGAGGGCATTTTCGTCCGTTTACCTATTGTACGCCTAATATACCTGAGAAATAGTCGTGTTTTGGGAATAGTCGAGCGACCATTTTGGGAAAAACTCTTTTATTTATATCATTTTTTTTTCATTTTTTAGACTCTATCAAATTAGAATTTTTATAGATTTTTTTCTGACAAATATAAATAGTTAAAATTTCACAATCCAACCTCAAAATTTTTAACTTTCTCAACAGATCGACTTTTTCCCTCTGTCTAGACAACACTTGAGACTAAAAATGCAACATTATGAATAATTAATGGGTTAAATTTGTTTAAATTAATTTACATGAATTAAATTTCTAAAACTGAAACAATTTAGATGGCAAAAGTGTGTCAAGCACCTTGTACTTAGATGGCATGTAGTGATTTCTCCCATGTGGGAGGTCATGAGATCGAGCCTTAGTGGAGTCATTGTTGACTCTTTGTGTTTCTTTGTTGTTGTTGTTGTTGTTGTTGTTGTTGTTGTTATTATTATTATTATTATTATTATTATTATTATTATTATTATTATTATTATTATTGACCACCGGGGTAGTCAAACGGCAGGACAACACAACCGGAGAAAGAGAACACGGTGACCGAGAAACAAATGCTTTGTATTGCTCATGTAAAGGCCTAAACTAGGCAAGTCTTCCTTGCCATAAATACATTTGATCTGCTTTCTAAATACAATTTATTTCTTTTCCTAAGTTCAGTTGATCTTCTTTCCTTATTGCATCTGCATATCTCGTCGCCCCCACAAGATCCGCTCGCCAAACCGCCTATGGATTCTGCCATATCTTTTGTACCGGTCCGAATCCTTTTAGGAGTCGGCCAGCCTACCTCTCGGCTGACTGCTTTGCGTAGCCGTTCATATGTACCCTTTCGTTCAGCGAATAAAGCTGGTAACCCACCAATATGCGTTAAGTATATATATATATATATATATATATATATATATATATATATATATATATATATATATATATATATATATATATATATATATATATATAGGTATGATCAAACAATTTGGAACTGAGGAATACAGTATATAGCATTTGAAAACCAAGAGGCGAGACAACAATCAATCATAACACACTCTCGACAAGGATCAAGACCCACAACTCAATCAAACCAATAGAGACCACAACAATAAACGATAACCACAACTCTAGATGTAACCTACCATGCACAAGGTAGAGTTCATCATAGACATGCACATAAGCAAGGAAATGCATCAATCACATAATGACAACTTTATGTTCCAACCTTATCCCTTAGTGCCACCCTTATGGCTACCCTCGGCCTTATCACAATTTCAACCTGTACCTCCGAGTGCCACCCTATACTTCTGAGTCCAACCTTTTCCCGGTCTGGGACCGTTGTCCCCTGCCAAACTTCCGCCAAACAATACCGCCGAACTCATAGTACACGAGGGTACCGTTCAAATCGTAGTAACATACCACCGATCATGTGAGCAAAGCTCAAGTAACAAAACCACCAATCTCATTCATATTCACACATAGTCATCATCATCAAGAAGACTAAGGCTCATCAATAGCCCCAATCAAGTATCAATAAAGGGTATAACGATTTGTACAAAGACATGAGGCAATACTCAACAACAAAGGACTACAATCCAACATCAAAATGATTGACAACACCAGTTGCCAAACCTCAACCAGAAGGAACAAACCATACATACTAGCATAACAACATCAAACTAGCATGCTCATCAAACGAATAAACGAAAATGGTTCCAACGTACCTTCAAGACTCATATTAGCCCAACGAATCACAAGGTTGGACCATTAGCACAATTCAAGACACCAAATCCAAACATGGATTCCTAACACATCATTCTAGATATACGAAACATCAAGAAGACACACAAATGCTCAATAATCGAACATCGGGAGGTCAAAACATCAAATACCAAGAAGATAGGATCATGGGGAACAAATCCCCACAATCTCCACATATGTTCCCCGCGGGTAGGGCCACGGGGAGGCCCCTACCCGTGGGCCTGCCCGCGGGGTACACCCCGGGAACAACTTCGTTCCCCGTGGGTGGGGCGGCGGGTAGGTCACTGCCCGCCGTGTGACACCCCGTAAAATCCAACTCTAGTCAAGGATTAATTAGAGAATTAATCCTAGTCTTCTTGTTAATTTATTCCTAAAAATCCTGAAAATTCAATAGTCGAAGGACGAGAATTTGACAAGTCAATCAAGGTTAAAGGGTTGTACCTTATGCTTATTGGGTTGTGCCCTTGTTTCCTTATTCTTCCAACTTTAGTAAGGGTAAAGATGTCTTTCTACCTAAAGTTTGTGTTCCAAGCTAACCTAGCAACATCTCTTTATTTCATCCTCCAACACTCTAAACACAAAATCTCTACCTTCTCTCTAAGGATTGGTAGCTTCTTCTCCAAGCCAAAATTTGGGCATCCTAAATCTTACAAGTTGTCTTCCAAGATTCATACTTTCCTAATCTTGAGCATAGGGGAGGGTAATATCCTTGATCCTTTGGTGTTTTTAACCTCCTTATAGATGTCTTTTTCTAAATATAGAATCTTTGTTGTCTTTTGGTTTGTTTATGAAGTTGGTGTGGAAGAGAAGCTTTAGGAGAAGCTTTCTAAGGGTGAGAAAGTGAAGTTTTAGGCTCCAAAGGTAACCCATGCTTCACAAAACCTATTTTCTTACTTATATGATGATTCTTGGCTTCTACATGTGATTCTTGTGTTGAAATGTGAGATTTGATGCATTGTCTTGTGGTGATGCATGTTTAGAGCTTGTATGCCATTGCTTGGCTATTTCTTGGGTTCAAGTCATATTGTTGTATTGTGTGAGATTTTGGGTGTTTTGGACTTGAATTTGGACTTGTTGAGAATCCCCGAAGGGATCATTTTGGTGTACAGGGTGTACCCACGGGCAGAATTGCGGGTAGGGCACCACCCGCCGTCCCACCCGCTGGGTACATGTGGCTTGTGCGCTCGGTACCCGCTGGCGGAACCACGGGTGGTTGTCCACCCGTGGCCCCACCCGCGGGGAACATGTATGTTAGTTGGCGGGGATTTGTTCCCTGTGATTCTTTTGACTCGGTATTGATGTTTTGACCTCCCGATGTTGTTTTATTGGGCTATTTGTGAGTCTCCTTGATGTTTCGTATATCTAGAACGGTATGTTAGGAATCCATGTAGGATTTGGTGTCTTGAATCGTGCTTGTGGTCCAACTTTGTGATTCGTTGGATTGATGATTGAGTCTTGTATGTTCTATGGAACTACTTTTGTTTACCCGTTTGATAAGCATGCTAGTTTCATGTTGAAATACTAGTATGTGCAGTTTGTTCTTTCCTCTTGATATTGGCAACTTGTGTTGACCATCGGGTGTCAGATTATGATCCTTCGTTGTTAAGTATGGTTTCATATCTTTGTTGTGATCCGTTGATTGATTCCTATGATGTGAACGTATGTAATCGTTGTTCCCTTGATTGATACTTGATTAAGGTTATTGTTGAACCTTTGTCCTCTTGGTAATGATGATGACTTGTGTTATTATGACTGAAATTGGTGGTGTGTTACTTGAGCAAAGGCTCATATGTTGGAGGTTGTGTGACTGAAATTAATGGTA